TACATATTTATTCAACCAAACCAGTTGGAGTATTCATATACCCAACAGGTTTCCCCCAAATACGAGATAAAAGCTTCCAAAACTTGCAGGAGTATAGTAAAGTGGTAGGTGGGAACGTGTTCTACCAGAGGGCCGGGTTTGCTTTGGTGTGTGTGTTTGTGTGTGTGTTATTTTTAATTGGTATCCTGAGACCCGCCATACAGAGAAAGCTGCACATGGCTTTTTTCTGTGGAAGTTTTTAACAATCCGCTTTGGGGGCTGCAGTACGTGTTTGAAAAAGGAAATGGGCTTAGGATGGAAGAACTCCAAGTCTCAGTTTTTGATTCTGAGTTCGACACAAAAATACAATGCCATTTCCTTCTCCTGAAGCTTTTCATCATTTCAGGCCCATTCTTTAGGGAAGGAGGTGCAGAAGTAGTCCTTGACTTTTGACCATACTTGAACTATTGCTAACTGAGATGTTTGTTAAGTGGGACACATAATCACCATAGCCAGTATGACCATGATTCATGTGCTTTCACAATTGGCATGCATTTACAAGAGTTTTAGCATCCCGGGGTCACATGACTGCTATTTGTGACCTTCCCAGGTGCCTTGTGACAAGCAAAGTCCTTAACTTAAGTGTTGGAACTTACTGTTGGATTGTGTTTCTATGCAATAAGTAAGTAGTATTCAGCCAGTAGATGGCAGTGTCTACAAGTTTGCATCCATGCTATGTTCTTTATGCTCTTTTGTTCTAAGTAGAGTTTCCTGTTTCCTGTTTCAGTAAAACAGTTGAGGAGTAAAGCACATGGTGACTGTATTGTTCGTTGCTCTATGGTGCTATATATAAGCAGAATTTCTATCAATAAAAGAAGCTGTATTTGCTTAACAATTGTGGCAAAAAAAGGTTGTAAAATTGGGTGTGACTCACTTAATGACTGCATTGCTTAGCAGTGGAACTTTGGACCCAACTGTGATTGCAAGTTCAAGGACAGCTTGCAGTTACAAATCTCTCCCCCTGCCCCCCTTTCTCTCTCTGTGCATGTATGTGTGCCTGTATATTCTCACTCTCCTGAACTTGTTGGAAGGTGAGAGAGAGAGAGATACAGAAGATGCCCGCATGAGATCTAAGTCCAGCCCTCCTTTCATTCCTTGCTATTCTTAACTCCTATGGATTTCTCTTAACAGTTACTTGACCAGATTCTTGTAGAGAACTTAAGCTTGCAATAAAGCTTTATACTCATTTGAACTTCCTGAATCTCCTGATTTCCCAGGCTCTTGACAATATTCATTCACTTGTTGTAAACCCATTCTTTTTATGGTATTAATATCACCCCAGCCTACACTCGGAAAATGAAGGATGAGTTACTTGAAGATCCTACCCACCAAATCTTTACCTGGAGAGAATAAGATAGAGCCAAGCCTTTTTCTGCAGTACTGATAGAAGAATGGCTGAGGACCACACACAGGGCTACAGTCAACATCATGAAGCTCATGAGAATATCTGTCCTCAGTGCAAACCATCGCAGTGCATAGTTAAACATAAGGAAATGGTTTGAGTTTTCGTTATTCAAGATCCTAAAACTGAAAGGAAAGTAAGAATCAGTCGTTCAATAGTTGTCTTGGAGTGATCGAAGCGAATATTTGTAGCTCAGGGTTGAACCTGATGCTCTCCGAGCTTGGTGGTTTTCTTACAGATGTTTCACTACCAAACTAGGTGACATCATCAATGCTAGAAGGGAGTGGGATTTTCTCTCATTATGTAAGTGGCTTGCCCAATCAGTGATGGTGGCAGTTTTCTTGGTAGTTCCTTGATGTTCTTGCTGGTTGCTTGTTCCACCAAAAACACTCCCACCAACACTAATAGGGGGCAGGTAGGGAACCTTAAGAGGTGACAGTGTTATCTCCAGCAGGCTGGTGCTGAAATGCAGAAATTAGCAGTCGGGAGGAGGAGAAAGAGGAAGAAGAGAAGGAGAAGATGGAAAAGGAGGAGATGAAGAAGATGGAGGAGGAAGACAGAGGAAAAGAAGAAGATAGAGGAGGAGGAGGAAAGCAGAAGAAGGAGGAGAAAGGAGAAGGGAAAAGGAGGAGATGAAGAAGATGGAGGAAGAAGACAGAGGAAAAGGAGAAGATAGAGGAAGAGGAAAGCAGAAGAAGGAGGAGAAAGGAGAAGGGAAAAGGAGGAGGAGGAGAAGGAGGAGGAGGAGGAGGAGGAGGAGGAGGAGGAGGAGGAGGAGGAGAAAGGAGAAGGGAAAAGGAGGAGATGAAGAAGATGAAGGAGGAAGACAAAGAGGAAAAGGAGAAGATAGAGGTGGAGGAAAGCAGAAGGAGGAGGAGAAAGGAGAAGGGAAAAGGAGGAGGAGGAGGAGGAGGAGGAGGAGGAGAGGAGGAGGCCTGAACCTTTCTTGAGGTACATGCACAAAATGTGTGTTATGTCAGGGCTTTATCTCCCTTCTAGCTATCACCTCTTTTCCTTTCTCCTTCGTAGAGAGGCCGACTAACTGAACAGCAGTATTAGAAATAAGAAATTCCTCCTCCTGTAAGTATCGTCTGCTTCCTCCGGGCAGTGATGAGAACTGGGACTACCTTGATGGTAAAGGGAAATCCTGCCAAGATCTCTCTTCGAAAAACTACAACTGCAGCCATGAATATTCATACAATCCACAGTGGAGACTGCAGCTTGGATAGGAAGGTCAATCCAAGAAGCTACTGGCTTTTAGCTTTGGTTGAATAAGCTGGTAGTCAATTTTTAAAAAAACAAAAAGATATTAGGGTCTGCATCCTTGGGCAGGGTGGGAAAGGTAGGATGTTTTTCTCCTCCACCTCTTCCTTCTTTTAATGTGAGCTTCCTTTTTCTTCTCGGAGGAGCAGGGCTGCAGAGGGCAACTTCTGTCTCAAGGACCCCATGGTAGTGGGATCCCACAACCTTCTCCACATCAGGTCTCTAGTCTCCATGGCAGGACTTGCAAAACATGCTTAGCTTAGTTGCTCAATGAACCCATGTTCTGGTTCAAAGTCAGGACATGCCGAGGAAGCTCAGAAGTCACGAAGTTTAGTATACTGATGGAAGGGAATATTTGTAGCTCAGGGTTGAACTGTGGGGACCTCAGTGCTCTCGATGTTTACAACAACTGAACCCCGAGTCCAGAGAGCACCAAGGTTCCTAAGTTTAATATGTTTTGTGTCCCTTTATAGGTATTTAAGTGACCTCATTAGATTTGTCAGACAAGCTCATTACACAAAGTATTTGTAAGCTTTTGTCAGCCCTTGAAGGTAGACCAGACAAGAAGCACCTACCATAAGTACTAATTGTATTCTTACCATTTTACAAAACCCTTCCCTTAATTTCACTCTCTTGAAAACGAGGGAGGGCTAATTCCGAGATCTTTTCTCCACCCCGATCCCTCCTGTGGGCTTAAATGCTGCTTATCTGACCATTTTCAGACTCTTCCTCCTGACTCCAAGGCCATCCCCAAGTACCATTACAGCTCTCTTAGGGAAAGAGGGCTAAAGCGTTTTTTCCACTGATCTATCACTAAACTGCTATGAAGTCTGTCCTCGTTACTGCTATTTTCAGCCAACCATGGTTGGATGACCCTAGAAGAAGTGATAGATTCAGGGGTTGGCTGTTGGGGGTTCGCAGGCGTTCAGGAGAGCCCCTAACTATGATTCTGTGCAGTTGGGAGAACCCCCCAAATCCCACTCCTGGCTGGCCCCGCACCACCCACGCCATCCCTCCCAGGAGTCCCCACGCAGCCTGTTTTGGATGCAGGTTTGTGCAGGGCATGTGAAAGGGCGAAAAATGGCCCTCCCGGAAGTTCGGGTTGGCCAGGAATGGGCCCATTTCTGGCTTCCAGAGAACCTCCAGAGCTCAGGGAGGCTGTTTTTGCCTTCCCAGAGGCTTGAGGAAAGCCTCCGGAGCCCTGGGAGGACAAAAAACCCCCCCCCTTGTCCCCCCCCCCCCGTGCAGGAGGCCAACTAGACTGCACACCCACCATGGCCACGCCCACCAGCAAATTTTTGAAGCCCCCCTGTTAGGTTGCATAGTGAGAAAACAACCCAACTCCCCTCTATTCTACTGGCTCAGAAAAGGCAGCCTATCCTCCCACTGAGTTACTGGTTAGAGGCTTTTCCAGGGAGCCTCCGGTTCTGCCAGAAATGGGCGGAAGACTCGAATGTTGGATTCCGTTGCTTTAGAAACCAGACCTTAACAATAGTTTAATGGTTGCAAAAGAATATAAAGTGCTCCCGTGGGTGGGGGGGGGTCATATATACGGCTGCACTTAGAGGCCATCCTGAGAATCCATCGGGCAATCAGGCAGCTTCCCCGCAGCTCAGCATTTTCTGCAAATGGAAAGCCACTGGATATCTCCCACTTAGGTAGCACAATAGCGGAGAGGCTTCATCAATTTCGCGGCAGGTACAAGATCGGTGCTCAGGTCGAAAATAGTAAAACAGCCGCACTTAAGAGGGGAGAGATGGGTAGTGAAAAAAGAAGGCAGGGAGAAACCACCACCAACAGCATGATTTGGATCCAGGCAGGAAACTCACCGATTGATGTAGTCCTCTGTCTTGTTGAAGGCACGGATCGTACTAAGACCATGGATTGAAGATGTGATCAAGCAGAGCCACACAGATCTGCTGAGGTTCTCAATTCGTTTGAGCTCTTGGATGGTGTTCTGAAAAATACTGTGATGGAATGCAGGTATGTTGTGTGCAGTCATGTGTGCCTGTCTGTCTGTCTATCATCTATCTATCTATCTATCTATCTATCTATCTATCTATCTATCTATC